AAATTGAGATTTTTCAAAAAATGTTCATTTCTTCAATGTTGCGAAATAAACATTTTTGGGGGGCAATTTGTTGGTTGGAATTTCGAGGGTATATAATGTGGGAGAAATGAGAGGATATCGAAGAAAATTTAATTCGACAAAGGAAAAATATAGGTTGGTATCTATGGTCTTAGATTGACGGACCAAATGAAGGGTGGAAATTATTAAGTATTGGCGAAGTCTTATTATTATGGAATGTATAAGACTTAAGATATTTCAAGTTTCGAATTCAAATAATTTGACAGATCATGACATGATGTTTGGCGCTTTGAATCGAAGACGAATTTTGAAATTCAAAAGCTTTGATCTTATCGAAAAGGACGCGTGGAAGTCTAAGGGTTCAAAGAAGCATGCAACGTCGAACGTGACACTCCTTTAGTGAAAGACTGTTATGGTCAAAGTAGTATAAATTAGGATCTTAATGTTAGATTTTAGTGTGTTCATTTTTGTACAAATTACTTATAAAATTCGAAGTACTAGTGTTTAGAGAAAAGAGTCAATTGAGAATGTACATATGAATCACCATATTTTACTTAATTGTCAATTTATTTTTACCAGAATCCTTCTTATCCCTTTTACTTTTAAGTCGAAGTCTTCTTATTTTCTTGTAGTTACTTTACACATAATTTATATCCTTTACACATTAACCATAACCTTTGAAAAGATAAACATTCGAAAGACATAAACTAACGAAACACAACACATGTCCTAGGATCAATCTAGTCAATCATGTAAGTTACAAAAAATTCTAGAATTCAGAATACTAGCGGTTGTTTACCAATTTTCACGGTAAACAGAAACTTAGAGAGACAAAGAAAGAGATTTTTATGATTCATTATTTTAAGAATTGAAATATCTACGATGATATTCCAGGAGATTGAGTAACACTAAATACACTGAGTTCAAGTGATTGAGATGGAGAAACACTTGGATTAAAAATAGGGGATGTTCTTATGAACTTGAAATGATATATTTTTTTGTACTTTATCTTGCAATCTTTTGTAACAACATTTGAAGTGTATTGGATCAAAGAGCTATCGTCTTCGCTATAGTAGGAGTTTTTAACTTGTCACCCCTTTAATTGAACCTGACACCCTCCATTTTTGCTTAATTTCCAAAGAGAATTTTGTTGTATACCTAATACTCTTCTTGCAGGCCTCTGGTGAAAAATACAAAGTACCTCTAGAATTCAGATGTGCATATCCAAATACACTAAATTTCAATTTTTTAAGGGTGTTTTCGGATATGTATATCTGAAATAATTCAATAATTTATTTTCAGGGGGGTTTCAGATATGTATATCCGAAGTAACTCAATATTTCGTCTTTAGCGTGTTTTCAGTTATGCATATTCGATATATTTTAATAATCAATAGAAATAATATTTGTTGTCATATAATTAGTTCAAATAGATGATAATGACAAATAAAAGACCATAATATTTTCAAAGTTAACGTGAAATTTCATAACCATAATTACATAAATTAAAATATTTTGTAATATTTTTATTGAATAATTTAATGACAGTCAAATATCATGAGTTCTTTAATTTACTTTTAATGGCAATCAAATTGATTGATTTTAATAATGAAATCAATTTCATTTAGTAAAATATTTTATCAATAGTATTTTCTAAAAAGTGTTTAAATATAAATATTGGAAATTAAATAGAGAGATATAAAATACTAATTATCAATATTTTCTTTGTAAATTAATTATAAAAAAAAAATATATCAGTGAATATTTCAGATATGTATATCTAAAAATATTTTTTTTGTTAAAAATTAATTTATTTAGAGATGCATATCCAAAATATATATTTTTTATAATATAATATATTTAAATGTACATATAAAAAGATATTTTCGAGTTTTAAGAGATATAAATCAACACTACTAAATATACACACATTTTCATTTCTAAATTGTCTATGGACAAAATTTGAAAGGGTGACAATAACTAAAATTCTGATAGATTATTCAAAATTTTCAATAATATACCAAATTTCTAGAAAGTGCATAATTTTATTCAAAAAATGAAACAACGGTTCCAATATATACTTTGGTGGTATCCAACATTTACTCACCACACCACATCAACATCTCAAACAAGAAAAGTGAATTAAAAAAAATTGAAAAGTGATGGTTTTCAATCTTGTCGATATAAAAGTTGCACCAGTGATAAGTCTCATATTTCATCACTTTTAAAATAAGTGTTTTTTTAAAGGAAAAATTCTTTTAAAATGAATATTATTTTCACGATAATTAATTTTTTAATTGTGTACTATAATTATTATTTGTTATATTATTTCCAATAAATTAATAAGATTGATTTAATAAAAATGCAATGTCTCATGACATTATAATTAAATTTCTTAATCTATATGCAAAAATCTTAAATAACACTCATTTTGAAACAGATGGAATAGTAAAAGAATGTGTGCGTGCGTGTGTGCAAATTAACATGATAGCTAGTACTCTCTCCGACCATTACTATAAGCAAATATTCTCTTTTTAGATTCATTAAGAAATAAATATACATTTATTATTCAATAAATTTAAAAAAAGAATCTTTACTTAAAATAATGAGTGAAGTAGAATAAAAAAAACTAAGATTCAAAAAGGCATATGGGTGATTGCTGGCACAGATTTTATGACACATCAAATATTCTCTCTATAATGATTTATAAATAAATTTGATTTTTTAAATATATTTGATAATTAATATATCTAGTCTATATATAAATTAGATATATTAATTATCAAATATATAAAAAAATAAAATTTACTTACACTACTAAAAAAATGATATTTAAGAAAAGGTTTTTACATCAGGTATCAAAATATATGATGTAAAAAATAAAATTAAAAACATTTTACATCAGGTATTTATTTGTAATGATATAAATAATATGGAAAAAAATATTTTTTGTTATCTATTACATCGGGTCATTTAATCCACCGATGTAAAAGGTTTCGTGAAAAAAACACGGTAGTATTTTTGTAAATAAGAAACTAGGTGGCAGAATTGTAAATAAAAAAACTGATCAGATATTACATCGGTCCCTGCAGTCCACCGATGTAAAAAGTCTGTGGCAGATTGGTAATATAAAAAATATATTAAGAACCTTACATCGGGGCATTCTAAAAACTGATGTAAAAAACATCAACGCCCGAACCTTACATCGGGCCATTCTTTAAACCGATGTAAAAAACTACCTTACATCGGGCCATTCTGTAAACCGATGTAAAAAACATCAGCGCCAGAACCTTACATCGGGCCATTCTAAAAACCGATGTAAAAAACATCAACCACCCAAACCCTTACATCGTGCCAAGGGTTGTACCGATGTAAAAACACACACACACACACACACACACACACACACACACATATATATATATAATGTTGAAATAACCCCTAAATGCAAATTATTTCGTCTACACTGTTCCGCCCCCGTACCGCCTACGCCGCTCCTCACAGATTTCACGTCTCCTTGCCACCGGCTGCACGAAGACATCCTATGCCGTCCATTCGCCGTCCGTTTCGCCGACCATTCGCCGTCCGTTTCACCATCCGCTCATCGTCTTCGAAACATCCTCCCCCGTCCAACTACGATTTCGGTACGAAACTTTCTATTTTGTTCAACTTCATTGTATATCTAGGAATTGGTTGATAGTTTATATAGAATTATTTCCAAGATGTTGGCTTCTAGGTTGAAGAGGGTCATGGGTAAGTTGATATCTCAATGTCAAGCAACTTTTGTATTCCAAAGACAAACATTGGTGTTTTAGTTTCTAAGAGTTATATATACAACTTAATCACCTTGCTACATCAAAGTGAGGCTCGACATCAAAGTGACTAGTCCATTGATTTGCTTGGACATGGCTGGTGTCGCTACGTAATGGAGCGATTAAGCTGGCTGAGAACCTGGCATGACATATCATATGATAAGTTTGCATATGATCATCATAGTGGAAATATATATTAGGATCTCTATACAAGTCAGATAAGAGAGGAAAGTGAAGAATACCCCAGATACATAGGTGATCTCATTCACAGGCGGATACAGCATACGGCCAGCTTGGGCAAATGCCCAGGCTCAACGGCCCAATTTTTTTTTTAGTACCCAGCCCAATTTTTTTTTAGTATTAAATAAAATTAAAAGAAAAAGAAAAAATAGTGAAAGTTAGAATTGGAAAAACCTAAAATTAGGAAAACTTACAGAGAAAAAAAACTGTCTGCCGCTGCTCACTTTTCTTCATCCTGTTCAATCTGTGTTCTTCTATCTGTTTAATCCTTGTGCAATCTATCATCATTCCTATAGGCAATATTATTTCTACAGACTATATAGCAGGTAATATAAATTTGGTTATTAAATAGTAGATGCAATGTGTGTTCTCTTTCTTTCTATATAATATAAATATACTAGAAACTATATGTGTTTTATAAAATACTATTTGGTATGTTATGTTTGTCACAGAGATAATCTAGATTACTAATATGTTGGCATAGTATTAGATAGACACATATATAATTATTGTCTTTTTGTACTTTTAGATAGACATACATGATACATAGACACATGTATGCTTAAATGCTTTGTATTTTTAAGTCACTAAATTAGTACAAAATTGAATTGATATACTAGATAGACATAGATACATAATAATTTGCCTTGTTTAATTTCATGTTTGATTCTAATTTATTTATTAGAGTTTAGGTTGATTGATTAATCATGTACTAATTTATTTATTTATTAGAGTTTAGGTTGTTTGATTAACCATATACAATTACAAATACTAATTTATTTATTAGAATTTAGGTTGTTTGATTTTTATTATTTTAAATTTTATTTTATTTATTTGAAGAACATTGTTAATTCTTATTTGTTTTATTTGATTATTATTCTTTTAAATTTTGAAACTACAATTTTGTAATTATTTTATCTTTTGTTTAGAGATGAGGAAATTTTTGGTTGCTAGAGAAAATATTGAGAATGTGAATGTTGTGCAATTGGAAGTCGAATTAGAACCACCATCTAATGTGGTTAATGAGTTTAATCCAAATGAGATTGTGCGAGATCCAGGTCATAGGAAACAAATTAATGAGTATGCTCCGGATATTCAAGACCAAGTGAGGAGGGCATATATATTGAAGGGTCCAATGCAACCAGATTTGCCAAGCTTTCCTCGTACTACATTTGGGAGTGTTAAAAGATCATTTAGTAAATCATGGTATAAGAATTATACATGGTTAGAATACAGTGAGATAAAGGATGCAGCTTATTGTTTTTATTGTTTTCTCTTTAAGAAACCCGGGAGGGCCGAGCACTTTGGTTTTGAAGTCTTCACTAAAAGTGGATATAGAGATTGGAAGCATGCATCTCAAGGCTTGAAAGGTCACGTTGGTAGTCATAATAGTTTGCATAACTCATGTGTCAAGCACTATGATGATTATAATAATCAAAGACAAAGTGTGACAAGTAAGTTTGCTAAAGCAACCAAGGAATCAGAAGAATTATATAAGATTCGTTTGACTTGTTCTTTAGATTGTTCAAGATATCTCATAGCACAAGGCATCGCTTTTCGTGGCCATGATGAATCCTCTACTTCTCTAAATAAGGGTAATTTTAGAGAGATGGTAGATTGGGTAAAATCTCAAAATGAACAAGTGAGGGACGCTTTTGACTGTGGTGGAAAAAATTGCACAATGACTTGCGGTGACATTTAAAAGGAGCTTGCAACATGTTGTGCACATGAAGTTACCAAGGTGATTATGGAAGAGCTTGGTGATAGACAATTCTCCGTGCTTATTGACGAGTCACGTGATATATCCGTCAAAGAGCAAATGACGGTGATGTTGAGGTTAGTAGTTGTATTTTCTAATTTTCATGACCTATTATTTTTTATGCCGCCAAGTAAACTTGTTGAATTTATTTTAGATTTTTGAATGACAAAGGAAATGTTGTGGAACGATTTATTTCTCTACATCATGTCAAAGATACTACATCTGAGTCATTAAAGAATGCTCTTTATGGTATTCTTGATAAGTACACGTTATCGATTTCAAGGATACGAGGGCAAGGATATGATGGAGCTTCAAATATGAGAGGTGAATTTAATGGTTTGCAAAGAAAAATTCTAGATGAAAATCCTTATGCTTTCTATGTTCATTGTTATGCTCACCGCTTGCAATTAGTTGTTGTGTCTGTTACTAGTAGTTGCTCATCTATTCATGATTTCTTTGAGTACATCTCCTTGATTGTGACCACAACAAGTGCATCTTGTAAGAGGAGGGATGCTTTGATAGAGACACAACACCAAGATATTTTAAATAAACTTGAGAGTGGTGAGATATCTAGAGGAAAGGGCTTGCACCAATCATCTAATCTCACAAGACCTGGGGATACTAGATAGAGTTCACATCATACTACATTGCTTCGTTTGGATCAAATGTGGCCCTCTGTGTTAAAGGTGCTTAGTATGGTTGATGAAGATGGACGTGGACCATCTCAAGCAGCGGGTTTGATAGAAAAAATGGAGAGCTTTAAATTTGCTTTCATTTTGAAATTAATGTTAAAGTTGTTTGGTATCACAAACGAGCTTTCAAATGTCTTGCAAAGAAAAGATCTTAATATTGTGATTGCCATGGAATTAGTTGATGATGTCAAAGCTCGATTGGCCACAACGAGAGAGAGTGGTTGGGATAATTTATTTTCTGATGTCCAAGATTTTTGTGTTGCTAAAGGTATTCCAGTTCCAAATATGGATGATGAAATACCGGTTCGGGGTCGTTCAAGGGTAGAAGGGAGGACTGTCACTAATCTTCATCATTACCGTGCAGAGATTTTTTATGTTGCTATTGACAAAATATATGTGGAGATGGATCATCGCTTTAGTGAAGAAAGTAACATTATCCTTAATTGTTTTTCATGTCTTGATCCCAAAAACTCTTTCTCCAAGTTTAATGTTGATAAGCTTGCTCGTCTTGCGGATATTTATCGTGTAGACTTTTCTGATGATGACCGAGGAACAATAAGGGATCAACTTGAGACTTATGTTCTTCAAGTGAGAAGAAATGCTTCATTTTCCACTTGTGAAGATGTTCAAAATTTGGCTATGAAGATGGTTCAAACTGAGAAACATTTAGTATTTCCATTGGTTTATAAATTTATTGAGTTAGCTTTGATATTGTCGGTGTCGACAGCATCCGTTGAAAGAGCTTTTTCAGCAATGAAGATTATCAAGTCTAAATTGCGCAATAAGATCAATGATGTGTGGTTCAATGACTTGATGGTATGTTACACTGAGCGGGAGATATTCAAATCACTTAATGATATTGATATTATTCGAACATTCACTGCAAAAAAGTCTCGGAAAAGACATTTGCCTCGTAATTTTATTTAACCCGCTATTGTAAGGTTATATTTGTCTCTTTTATTTTAAACTATATTTTTGTGGACAAAATGGCGAGTCTCTGTTATTTTGATTGATGAGTATTTATATATTATATACAATGTGAATTTGCGATCTTTAATTTTTCGCCCAAACTTTATAATATTTCTGGCTCCGCCACTTATCTCATTTATATCCAAGTCAGTACCAAACACACAATCATGTTTCACTGCATGAATGTATAATCAATCAATACTTTGTAGTTTTAAAATCATCCATAAAAAATAATGCATGAATGTATAATCAATCGACAAAAAAATTACTCATTGACAGGTGGCTTCTTTCTCACAAATGAATTCAAACTACACTAATATCTTAAGTATAATGCTTTTACCCGGGTAAAGTTCACATCAGCATATTGAACTCAAACTATATTTTCTCATTCTTTGTTTTATATAGATTTGTTGTACAAGATTATTACAATAACAAAAAATTTACTATCAACACTTAGTGACTCACCTACTAGAATTATGAGTTCATTTAGATTTTTTTATTTTATTTTAAATTTCATTTTTAATTATTTAGTTTGTTCATTTACTATTAGCGATTTTCTATTGTAGTTATTCCGTATAGAGTGAGATTGGAAAAGTACAAGAGATATTCATAATTATTGAAGATATAACTGGTACTGGTATAGAGTATGACATTAAAAAAAATTAAAGTAGGGATATGTTATTATAAATTTTTTAAAATATAATTATAAAAATTACAAATGAGATATATTATTTAAATAACAACAAAACTTTAAAATTAAAAAATAATTTGCTTAAAAAATTAATATCTGTGCAATAACATAAAATAAATTACACTTAAAAAAATATATTAATAAATCATGAAAATCATGGCTGAATATTAATATTTTCTTCTCTAATATCATTAAAAAGAATATCATTAAAAAGAGAAACTTCTAGTTTAGATTCATCAAGAGAAGGTTAACAACTTCAAGAATATAAGTTCTATCAAATAAATTACATTCATCTCCACTAATATCCTACATTTTTGTTACTCCCTTCATTATAAACCTTATTCTTTATCGAGGAAAGACAAAAATTTGTATGAACAAAAATTAAATCGTCATCCCTCTTTGGATTGAGTCTACTTCTTTTCAATGAATGAATAAACTCATATGTGCTTCAATTTCTCTTAGCAAAAGATAAAGAACTTAGTTGTAAAATAAGTTTCAATGCAATAGATTGGAGTTTAGGGATTGAAGATCCATAAATTACCAATAATTCTTTTGGTTTCAAGTTCCACCTATTCGGAAAAAATTAAAAAAAAGTTGGATACGTGGTACCAAATGTGTACCGGTTGGTGTATCAACTTAAAAAAATAAAATAAAAATTGGTACAAGTTCAATGCGTATCGTACGTGTACCGTACGCGTACCGGTACCAGGTACGTACCCGGTATTGGTACTTTACCTAAAATGGAGTATGCGTGTGTGATACAGTGGAAGAGCTGACTTTTGTGTTGCGTTTTATCGCAATTATTGCAAATAGCAAGAGTCGCCGCCGACTTTTCTTTTATCCAATAAAGGAAAGGGTGAAAAGAACAGGAAAGACCTTTTGAGAATTTTCTTGAATTCGGTGGGTAGGTTATGAAAAGGGAAGGTGTTAGCACCCTTTTCATCTGTAGTTATCTACGAGCTCTTAGTTGCTATCTCACTTTGAAATGCTTTGTTTGAAATATGTTTATGATGTCTTTTTGAAAGTATTTTTGAAAGCGCCTTTGTTTAGGCGAACTTTGTAATGATTCTCGTCTCTATAAGAATGTATACAAAGTGTTGACTTTTGAAAATATTTTATTTTTTGAAAGTGTTGGTGTGTTTGAAAGATGTTGTTTTGAAAATGATTGTGAGCAACCAACTATAAATATTCTACCTACTCAAAAAGTCTTAGTTCTTTTCCTCCTCCTTTAGATATTTCTATCTTATCATTGATTGATAAGAAGCCCCATCATTGGATGTGAAGGGACGGGCGTGGGTCATCGTATAGTCATATAAGACAACCTATGAGACGCTTTAGCAATTGTCGTAAGGGACTAAGATCGTTTTAGCAAAGGCAACGTTGAAGGGTCATCGAGGGACTACGATCTTTTTTATCGAGGGTCTTTGCTAAAGCGTACCACATTCGAGGGACATGACCATTTATTCGTAGGCAACAAGTGAGATTACCCTAGAAGTGCGCGTGTGAAAAGTGTTTATTTTTCATGCTTTTTTGTCTTTGAATTAAGGCTTTCTATTTGTTGATTTTATGTCTTGCCATACAAACCCTAATTACTAGCATTTTATATTGAAAGCGATCAATTGTAAAAATCTACGTTATTACATCATTTGGGGATGGGGGTACAAATTTACAAATGAGGGGGTAAAAGAAAATAAAACCTAATTTTACTATTACAACCATCTTGAATGAATAAATAATGTACAAGAATATAAAGATAGATAAAATAGGAAAATTATTTAAAAAAAAACTTTTATGCATTGATACATGCACTTATGCATTGATACGAAACTTTTATGTATTGACGCATGCGCTTATGCATTGATAAGAAAACTTTTATGCATTGACGCATGCACTTATGCATCAATACATATCATTTCTTACCCCTGGAAGTCAAAACCAACTCAGTATGAGTCGACACATAATGGTTTGCATCGACTCATTTCTTTTTTTCATCGACTCATTCGTGTTTTGTATCGACTCATAACCTATTTTGTACCTAATATGTGTCGACTCATAGAGATATGCATCGACTCATATTGTTGTTTTTTACTTCTAACATTATTCTTTCACACATATAAGTTAGTTCTCAACACATGGTTAGTGAAAATAAAAAGTAAGAATACAGTTAGCTTTAGGGCTATGATATCTATATTTTATCTTCACAAATGAACCACTAACGATGCTTGTATGAAGAGCTCAAAGTCAAGAAAAGTTATCTTGAAACTGAAATTTGTGTTTTGAGTTGATGTATTGTCTTGGAGAAGTCAAGTTGGAGGTGGCTATTTTTGAGTTGATGAGTTAAGGTTTATGGAGGAATGCAATTGACATGTCAGGTTCAATTTTGGCAAGGGAGTGAATGACAAAGATAGTAGCCTCTGTATATGGAGTATGATATTTTGAGTGGCTTAAGCAGAAGTTGGAGTTAAGGTTAAAGGAAGAGTTAAAGTGGAGAGAAGGTTTGAAGGGATTGAAGTGTGGACAACATAGTGGACAGCAGAATATGTAGCATGATGCGGGTCTGGTTTTGTTGACAGATTTATGCAGCTTGTAACAAAGATAAGGCATATTTGTGGGCAACATAGTGGCAAAGTTTGAAGATTGAGTTAAAGAGAAAAGTTTAAACAAGACAAAGCTTAGGATTTGTAACTTGCAATTTTTAAATTAAAAATGCAGCCTTGTTGTTTACTTGAAAACTTGTAACAACTTGAATTATCTTGAATTGTGGTGAAAAGATGTCACGAAGTAATGGAATTAACATGTATAAAAACACTTAGAAAAATTTCTAAGTCTTGCAAAGTTTGACTTTTCAAAATGACTTTTGACTTTCTTGATGATCAAATTTCATATTTTGAATGTCTTGATGAAATGTGATCTTTGAAACTCAAATTTGATCAAAAAGTCAAAGTTTGACTTTTTAGTGTACAGTTGACTTTTTTCATCAGTTGGCCAAATTTCATATATCAATCCATTGATCTCGGGAGATGAATTGAAATATGCGATTAGGTCAAAATGATTTACTTGAATTCTTGATATCATGTTTCAAACCAATAAGTCATGTACTAGGTCAAAAGCCAAAGATTGGTCATTCTCAGTCAAAACCCTAATTTTGGCTATTTTGCCCTTTTGATGATTTGAATAATTTTCCTGGAGAATTGTGATCCAATCTTGATCAAATGATACACGTGACTTCAAAATGTTGATATTGGTCCAAAATCTTGAAGTTTGATTGTAGGTTGAC